TGACCTATGAGCTGACGACTGTGTTCTAGACTTAGTGGCTGGGCCAAATCATTTGCATTCAAGTGTGCCCACGAATAATGTGTCTTAAATTTGCACAAATTAGATCCAGTGCAGATTTTATATAAAAACGAGAAGAGAAAAAAGATTAAACAAAAATTCTTCTGTGGGTAGCTGGTAGCCACCATATAAAGGAAGGGGAGGCTATGAAAACTGTGGTTTTCCTGGGTAAAGTTGCATGTTCTAGATCAAAATAGGGTTTATTTTCCGAATAATTTCTGTTGGGAAAGATAGCAGCCTCAACAAAGTTTGGGTTTGGGTCGGTGACTATAGTATCCCATCCAGCAGTAATTTTTCTGTTTCAGGTAAAATTAGGGGAAATGAAGGAAACAGGTAGAAAGTAAAACCACTGAAAAGATATCGCCCTTTTTTATACTGTAAAAGGGTACCTAAAAGTTCAGCTCTTATAAGAAATAGATAATAGAAACCTCTCCCTCCCCAAAAGTCAGTTGCTTACTATGACTTCACCATAGTCACAGGGAATTGCTTTATTTATAGCAAATAGTAAACAGCAATCACATGCCAGGGATTATTCTCAGCTCTTTACATTTATTTATTGCATGCATCATCTAGGCCTTAGCTGCACTGTTTTATTTAGTACATAGTCTTTAGTCTTTAAGAAACAGATATTGAGGGGCACCTAGGTGGCTCAGTAGGTTAAGCATTTGACTCTTGGTTTCAGCTCAGGTCATGATCTCAGGGTCATGAGACTAAGCCCAGTGTCTAGCTCAGTGCTGGGCATGGAGTCTGCTTGGGATTCTCTCTCTCCTCCTCCCTCTGCCCCTCCCCCCCACTCATACTTTCTCGCTTTCTTTAAAAAAAAAAGAAAAAAAAAACAGATATTAAAAACAAGTTTATGTCCAGCACCATGCTTTTATGTGTATCATCTCATTTAATCCTCAAGATGGCCCAATAGATAGGTATGTGCCATCAGCAGCAATCTGAGGCTTAGAGAGACAGGTATCACTTCCAGGACACAAGCTTCAAATCTCATGGACTTAAAGCCCAACGTCTTTCTGTTGCCATCCTTGTGTTTGTCACAGAATCAGAGTTCCATAGGGTCAGCATACCTCACTTTCATAGCGGACAGATCCTTGATGGGGTTCCTTGTGGATTTCCAAAATGAGAAGTGTCCAGATACTCTGGGCAGATTCTCTTGGCCCTCTCCCTGCAACTGTGAGCTAAAACCATCTTCTGGAACTTCTTGAGTCTGTTCCAGTAAAGTAATCACAATTCTAATCCTAGGGAAGAGTAAAAAGCAGTAGAAACCTAATTTTGCTACTTTGTAGCAACTTGAAACAACTTAAGAACTGTTAAGAACCTCAGGTTCCCTCTCTGATCAACGGGGCAATACAAATGATTTGTGCTTTACCCATCCTGACCTCACGCAGTCGAGGTGGTCAAAGATGATAATATTCGTTGGAGATGCTATGGAAATGAGTGGTTATTACTATACCTTCAATTTGCCTCTGTTGATGAGAGTTTCTTGGAATAATGTTATTTGACCTGAGATTTAAACATGGGCAGGAAGATCCTTTGTAAGCCATGGATTAGGTTTTTTCTGGGTACAAAAGGAAATAACCTTTTTTTTTTTTTTGAGTACCCACATGTGCCAGGGGTTGTGCTAAGATTTCACCTCTCATTTAACCACTCAAGAAATCTGGGGAGGTAGGTGCTAGCTATAAACGAAGACACTGTGAAGCTCAGAGCAGTTAAGCAATTTGCCCAGCACCTCATAGCTGGCATAAAACTGAGCTTCAGACTCAGATCTGTGGGAAACCAAACTCTATGCTGTTTGCATTCACTCTAGCACATTGCCTCATAGGCAGAAGGGAAAGATGGAAGCAGAAAGCAAAATGCAGGGGTCTGCAAACCTAAAATACCCTGGGGTCCAGGGATTTGCCTGAGAATTAAAATTAAAAATAATAATAATCAAGCATCAGGGCTCAGCCACAAAGAAAAAATAATGTTGGCTGACATTTCTTTTGTTATAGCCCGTGGCTTAAAGAGTCAGTTTTATTTTCACGTACTCCTGGGGAGGATAGTGGAAAGTAGTTACAAATATTATAACCGTTTAATGGGTGGTGGTGGGCAAAACTGAGAAAGAAGAAGTGGAACAGCCAGGCAGCAATTGAGAGAAAGTAATGGACTCAGAGCTGCCATAAGGTCTTCCTTCCAGGGACTTGTGCCTTGTCAAGGGCGATCTTCTCTGATGCCAGCCCAGTTCACCTGCAGTCACTGACCTCCACACTTTCACACTCTATTATTCCTGGTCATGATTCCCCAGGCTTTGGCCCAGTGCTTCCTGTGGAAAATCCTGTTCTCAGGTGGAAAAATCAGTAAGCCCAAGAATGCCCTCTCTTGATCATCCTTGACAGTGAAAGGTTCTTGAGATCACAATCCGGACACTTCTGAAAAAGAAAAATCCAGGCTAACGTAGAGTTGCAGTTTTCACACTGTCCAAAGATCATGGGACCCTTGTTTGTGACTGGCAGGGTCAACTCTTAGAGATGGTAAGAGAACCTCCATGTACTCTCACTGCCAGCTGTCGCTAGTTCATCCTGCTTGACAAGGAATGAACCCAAAACATGTTTAACTTATCTGAGTTAAATCTTGCCCCCATAGGGAAGATAATAAAACCCAAAGGAATCTAAAATGTTTCAGAATTCTTTGCTGGTTTTAAGGAATCATTTTTCCTAAAGGTGGCAAATGCTGCTTTTAGATTTAACTAGAATTGGGAACTAGTCCTGGTCTCACTGTGCAGTGAAACCCTGAACTAATGTTTATTATGGTTCATAATGGTTTATGGACCTGAGTGTCTTCATCTGCAAAATGGGGGTAAAGTAGCTCACAGGGTTGATCTGTAAGATCAGATAAGATGAGGTGGGTGAAAGTGCTTGGTAAAGCACAAAGGGCCTCATGAATGTAAAAGGGGTGGTGATTTCTTTCTTTCAAGGTGAAGCTAAGTGGAGGGAAAAGGGTGTCGCATCAGCACTGATCATACTTTTCAGCCTTCAATAATCCCTTGTTCATATTTATGAGGAGTTTTAAAATTATTTCCCCCGATTTCACACTGTTTTTCAAATGGCGAAGACCATTATTTGGCCTGCATCGGTTTCTAACTGAACAGGATGAGTAACTTTCCCAGGGTCAGACAGCAAATGAAGTGCCTAAATTTAAATTAGAATGAAGCACACATCTGAGGCTGATTGCTGGTCCTGGGTTTCCTATTAGTGAACTTGTGGAATGCACAGGCCAATTTATCTCCATGTAGTTTGTCAATCTTGCAACTTTTAAGTGAGATAAAAATCAGTTGGACACCCCTTTACAGAAGCTTTACTTTCCGTTGTATTCGTAACTGTCTACAGTGTAAGACTGTGGGCAAAACTCTCATCATCGGAATCTTCCAGAAACTGAGCAAAAGTCTCATCATCAGAATCTTCCGGAAGCTGGGAAAAGTTAAAAAACAAGAAACAAAAAACAAAAACAAAAAAACCCCAACCCTGCTCACAGCGTTAACAGCTAGGGAATAGCTGTGCTGGGTCTGGAGTCCACTTCTACCTCGGATCATGCCGTCTCCACTTCCGAAAAAAAAGCCACAGTGCAAATGCAAATGATGATGATGATAATAATAATAGTAATAATAATAATAATAATAGTGGCTGCTAGCTACCTGCCACGCACTGTTCTAAGCTCTTCGTATGTACTAACTCATTTAACCAGCAAAAAACATTTTTGGATTAAAATAGCCCAGTGAGAAACTACTTTTTTTCTTTTTCTTTTTCTTTTTTTTCTCAGTTGGTGACATTGCAACCCGAAATCACAACTCCGTTTTAGGTTCCTGGTGGTGCCTGCTTCCTCTTCTAGTTTGTTTAGTCACAGAATTCGATTCCTGTTGGCCGGTTCCGCGCCTACAAACAGGCTTAGCGCTCTATTGAAATGCGTGAGGCTCCTTAACTCTTGTATAAACAGGTAACGCGGAGGGGTGGGGCCCAGATTGCGGGTTTCTGTGCGATGGGGATGGGGTGGGGGTTAGAGCCAACTCCCCAGAGATCAGGCAAGGTTAAGGGAGGGCTTGGCCGCTGTTTTTAAAGGCAGTGTTTTTTGTTCCCTTTCTAGAAACCAGCTGTAACTTTAGGTCAGGGCGCATTAAAATGAGCCACTTCTGAACGAGCAGCGCCCAGGCCCCAGGCCCTGCTGCGAAGGCCCCGGCAAAGGTCAGGGTTTCGGCCGCGTGACGTTCCTTCCTGCGCCCGCCCGAGCGCTGCGGCGCCCCAGGTAAGGACACTCCGGGAGGTCCCCCGGCTGCAGGCCCGCCGCGGGGCTGGCGGGGACACTACCTGCCCCGGCGACCTCGGTGCCAGGGGGGAAGCACGGGGGGGGGGGAGGCTGGTGCTGGGAGGCTCGTGATTCCACAGCAGGTTCCTTATTCCGCAAACATGGTTCTGCTTCGCTTCTCTGAACAGCCCAGAGGGGGCCCGACGTCGGAGGACAGACGTCCCCAGGTGGAGCAGGTGCCACTCCTGGGGCCGTTTCTGGATGCCTGAGATGGATGGGACTTTCTGAGCGGGGAGAGGAGTCTGTCTGCTGAAGTCCCCAAATCTCTCCCATCCAGGAAGAATTAAAAAAAAAAAATTTTTTTTTTGTGGGGGTGGGGTGGGGTGGGGGTAACCTTCAGCCAAGGTATCTGCGCTCCTAAAACAACAGGAATGTTGCACTGGCCTTTCGCCAGCGGAGGCTCAGCGAGCAGGATAAAATTTCAGTGCAGATTTACGGGAAGTTGCCGGTGTTGGGAGTAAAAATCTGGTTTGGTGAGTTTAAGGGAAGGGAGTAGACGAGAGACAACCTGGCTACTGTGAGGCGAATGGCCTGGGCTGGGGGAGGGCGGCGGGAGGAGGGCGGAGGCCACCGCGCGGAGCTCGGGGACCCGACGCCGCCGGGCTCCCGGGGCGGCTCGGCGACTGCCCCCGGGCTGCACCCCGCGCTGTCGGGCTCGCGCTCCCGCCGGGGACTGCGCGGCCCCCGCGCCCCCCGCGCCCCCGGGAGCTGCCCTCGGGTCCCCGCTGCCGCCTCCCGCTGCGCGCCGGGGAGGAGCCGGCGCCTGGGGACTTGGCCCCGTCGAGAGTTTCCCCCGCGCGGGTGTCCGGGGCGCGGGCATTCCGACCAACCCGAGCGCCCCGAGCCGGGAGCTCAGCCTCAGCCTCAGCCTCGGCCGATCTGTTGCTTTAAGCGGCGCGGCGGGGAGTAGCTGGACACTCCTTATTCTGGTTTTACATTAAAAAGAGGGAGGCCGAGAAGATGTTGTAGGTTACTTCCTAGCTGTGTCCGATGCTACGGGGCTGTGAACGGTGTTCATTTCCGAAGTGGGCGACTCCAGATACTTTGCAAAGGTAAGGTGGGCTTTGCCAATCCCTCGGACTACCTTCCCTGCATCCGAAGGTCAGGGTCCCAGTTTTGGATTTTTTTTTTTTTTTTTTTTTTTACTTTTTCTCTCTTCAGCTCTGATCTCCTGGTAACACTCTCCGTGCAAACTCTGATATATTTAGTGGGAAAGATATGGTTTCAAAAAAGGATCTTAAAAGCGTCAGCTTCTGGAAAAGCAGAAAAATCATATAGTCAGCCCCCTCATGTTTCCTCTGGTGATGAAACCTCTTCCATGCAAGACACAGATTTTTTTTTCCCCTCCCCACCTTTGAAAACACATAATTGGGCCATGCAGAGGCACAGGTGACTTGTAGAATCAGTCCATTAAAGTGAGATTGAGGAAATATTCGGGCGGGCATCTATCTCATTTAAGTGTTAAGGTGAGGGGGGGCGGGAATGAGGAGGAATGTCTTCTTGCAGGAATTTACCTCCAAAGGTAACACTGAGCACGGGGCTTAGTTGTTTAAAAGTTAGGAATTGAATCTGTGTAAAAGCGTAGGCCTGATGGATTATGACAGCTGACGAGTCACCAGTCACCGGATATTTAAGAAATCAGTTAAAATAAATGACGTGGGAATTTTTCAAATAAATAAGTTATTTATTTATTTTTTTTAATTAGGTAAAAGTTTATCTACTCTTGGATACTGTCCCAGGACATTTGGGGATGTGGCTTCTTTCTAGAGGCTTATCAAAGTGATAGAAAGATAGTGTCCTCAAGGTATTTATTTGTAGGCCACACTGGTTTTTATGAAAAATCAAGCAATTCTTTTCTAGTGGCATCTGAATGACTCACTCGTTTGTCTTTAGCAGGAATGCAGATTAGAAATGTGTTCTTTATTTCTCTAACTTATTTCACTTAGCAAAAAAAAAAAAAAGTGTTCTTTAAAAGTTTTAATGCCAGAGTCACACACGTTTTTCGGGGGAGCAAAAAAGCAAAGGTTTGACAGCCCAAAACGTGAAGAAGTCGCCACAGTTTTAAGCAGGACTGCGTTCAGACCAAGAGCGTTTGAGGACTGCAGGTGCCCATTGGATTCTAAAGGGTGAGAGGTTGTCAGTGGCGTAAAACACAACCTCTTGGATATGGCAATGAGATAGCGCTTTGTGGGAGTTTGTGTTGCTATTTATTTAAACAATCTTTGTCAGATTGATGATCTGAAATCTTGGAGGGAAACAAAACCATCTCAGTCTGAAAGTGAGACAGGACGAAGAAGAGAAAGAAATGTGGGTTTTTGTATCTTTTCTTGTCCGCCTTATCCTTCATTCACCCTGTTCTGATATGCGTACTGTTGGCCTCTTTGTCTTAATAACTGCGTACTGGAGAATGAGGAATCAGAAATTTCACAAAAGCCTAGCTTCGTTATTAACGTTCAATAGTTGTTAAATGAGGAAATAAGCTGACAGCGACAAAGCTGCTAGCCTAACTGTCATGCTTCTTTACCTGACTAGGCTACTCCTAAATTCATCTGTTCAAGGGTCTTTTTTGAACGTATGTGGAAAAATGAGTTGAATTTTGAAGACGCTTTAGCTTCCTCTTGGTTAGTGAGTTTTCTGAAACTTGTAGAATTGAAATTATGGCATTATCATTATACTCCAAACTCTATTGTTTTAATAGTCAACATATTTGTTTTTGATTCCCTCCTGTTCTGCTCTGGGCTAAATTTTGGAAAGATTCTGACCAAAACAGTTGGTGACACTGAAGATAGAATCAAGATAGAAAGCAAGGGAATTGTGCTTCTGGACACGAGTCCTGTATAGTTGCTACAACTACTCACATTTTTTTCCCTCACATGATAAGAATATTCAGATTGGACTGTTCTCCTTGATTTATTAGTAGTGGAACCTGTTCTAGGTAAGTTAAACAAAGATTAGAAGGTTAAAGTAGATGAAATTATTATTTTTTTTTCACAAAACGCATTTACTTTCCAAATCCTACTCTTGATCTGAAGATTAAGATCAAGAGTCTCAGATAGATGATTGAGCTTTGACTGCTATAGGAAAGCATTTGCCTGTTTCAGACAAGATTCCAGCTCCACATTTCCAAGCCCTTCTGGTTTTTCAGGAACAGGCAGAGGATAGGTGTAGGGGAGTTCAAAAATGGACAAGAGGTTCAAGTGAAACGGTGATTAGGTTTTCCCAGAGGATGCATGATCCTAGAAAAAACTTACTCTGACGAGGGCTTAGGTTTGGGATTCATAAGATTTAGAAAAAGGATGTGCTTTGCCTGAATCTAGATTTTGTGTGCTGAACATTTGAGTTACTAGGAAGACATGACTGCAGTTTTGAAAGTGGTTGTCAGAATGGTTCCGTGTTTGAGATTATTGGCATGTCTCAACCACTGGTCTGATGAAGAGATATAGTTTTCCTCTTGGGAGCTGTTTCTGTGTCTTATGATGCTGTCAATTTTCTGGTTTCGTGTTGTAAGAGACGTGTGAGTCAAACAACCACCTGCTTGGAGTAATTGCCTCAAAGAACAACTGGAAAAAGACTTTCAAGAGGGGCAAGGCAGGAATGACTTGGATTATGAGGTAGGAGGCCTTTAGATTCTCCAGGAGAGAACTGTGGTGGGAATGACAATGGGTGATTGTTCAGTTGCCACCTCGAGTTGTTGGAACCACCTCAGGCTGGAGGGATTTAGGGGGAAATGGCGCCTTGCCACTTGTTGTGTGTGGTCTGAACCATCTCGTCAGGAAAACTCTCCCAAGGTGGTCTGCACTTGATTTCTGGTGGTTTCTACTTATCTCAGAGTTGCTTCCCTTTCGTTTCTATTGGCATCTGTATGGGGGAGAGGAGACTGAGGGCCAAGATCATCTCCCCTTACAGTTGATGTGTCCCTTCTTCTTAGAACCTTTTCTATTTTGTCCTGAAAAAGGGGTGAGGGAGGAATTTTCTAGGAAAAGTAGAAAGGGAGAGAGTGTCTGGAGGAGTACACGGTCAAGAAATAGGTGAGTTCCCAACACTGTTGGTAACATGGAATTCACCAGAAAGCTCCCATGGAGATTTATTAATGCCCTCTAACCGCGGCAGGTGAACTGGCAACCATAGGAATTTGAGGCTCACCTCTGCCCCCCTTTTGTAATTGAAATGTTCCCAGCACACTGCAATAGATGGCTAATTTGAATGGGCTCAAGATATCCCTTGGTAGGACCATAAGTAAACTGATTACAAAAGAAACTCGCATCCATCTTACTGCGTTCCACTCTGTCTTTTCTCTACTTTCTGCTGTGGTTTAAGGACACCCAGAAGAAAAAAAAAATTACAGCTCAGTTTATATAGCATATGAGTATAAAACGAGCATTCTGTTTTGTTGTGAATATTCAGTTGTTGTCATCACAGGAATTTCATTTGTGCAAAAATGATTTGTAGGTACATTTAGAAGTACGCGGTTTGTGTGTTTGTGAAATACAGAGCATACGTAAACTGATACTATGCCAGAAATGATTGATTGTAGTTTATGGTTGCTCTTTTGATAAACCCTATCATGTCTTAAGAGTGGAGTCATTTTAGAAATCAAAAGTACTATCTCTGCTTTTTCGAAGGCCATTTAAGAGAGATGACATCAGGAGAAAACAAAGTGCTGGGGTAACCCTGAAAACCCTTTGTGATATTTGGGAAAATGTCAATGTTTTAGTCTCAGCAGATTCCTGGTAGTGCAAAATATCTTATTTATAAGTTACAGCCATTCACGTTCATCACAAAAGCAATCTCCAGCCTCCTCAAATCATGATATTTGTCTTTGAGGGTGCTGTACTTTTGTGATTCTTAGGAACATGGTGGCCCAGTGCCAAGACCGTGGTAAATGCCAGGTGTGTACATGTTGAATGAAAGGGGAGTTGCTCATAGTTTTAGCCTCTGGATTGTGCTTTGCTTTGGCTAATAGTCAATTTTGCTCATATTCCTCAATCCCCTGGGGAGAAAGACAATTTGATCCCAGAAACTATGGGTAATCCACACGTGGGTGAGCAAGAGTTAACTATATGTGCCAATGGGCAGTGGGTGGGGGTACAATGAATGTGGGGCATTGTGCACTGAAACAGGAACAGGATGCCCCTACCTGACCAAGGAAATGCCAACCTGTAAAAATTATAATAAAAATATTTACCTTTCAGAGCGCTGAGACCTGGCTCAATCATTTTTGTAAAGCATTTTACATCGTGCCAAAAGAAAAAAAGAGTATTTAATAAAATGAAGAAGATTTTTTTTTTTCAGGTGCTAATTCTCATAGATCAATTTGACGCCCATTCTGAAAATGGTTATTTGGGCCTTTCCAGCTCAGGTCAAACATTCATCTTCTAAAAGTGGGAATCCATGTCCAGGATGATGATAGCACTGTGACTTTTGAAAAGACAGCTTAACTAATATTTCTTTCTGTTTGTTGTCATTTATTTTTAAAAATAATAACACAGTCCTCAGTACACCAAGCTCTTGCCAAGATTAGGCCCATCTTCTCAGTGGACTTCCCAAGACAAAGTTGCCTTTGTGTAACTGTAACTGGGAGGATTTGGTGGCACAGGAAACTCAATGGGGCACTGAAACTTATTATTAACAGAAAATTCAATGACCTGATGTGTGTGTGTGTGTGTGTGTGTGTGTGTGTGTGTTTTTTACTCTGCCAGCTGCTATCTATGATCTATTTCTCCATGCAGATGATCTCACTATATTAGACTTTCCCAGGGAAGAATATAATGGTTTACCTTGGAGTTCAGTTAGAGGATAGAAGACCAAAACTGCAGCATGCTGATGCAGAGGAGAGCTCACTTCTGTGGATTAGTTTGTTCATAAGGTAATCAGCAAAATTTGGTCATAGGTGAAAAGAAAGAAAAGATGGTTAGCCAGAGTGAAAATGACAGTTTGGGGAAAACAGATGACGATTGCGCTAAATTCAAACTCCTTGGCAGAGTGGCTAAGAGTATGGACTGCCTTGATTCACATCCTGCTTTTGCCACTTATGAGCCAGGGGACGTTAGGT